TATAGGATGCAAAAGAAGACCTTCCATTCACAAGTTGCTGATTAACCTATTTTTGGATATTTTTTTGCAGATTTGCTAGGGCAGCTTGTTTGGCCCTGTTTTGCTTATAAGCAGTTTTTACTTGCATTTTTAGATAAAGGTTTATCTTTTTCTTCTCTGAAGGTATACCTAGCAGCCTTAGTAGCTGAGCTGACTCCACTCAATAGGCTTCACTCATTGTTTATGATCTCATCATCTTAAAAAAAATAATGTTGTGATTAACATCAGTATCCTTCAATACTTCTATCTCTTCCACTCTGGAGCTTTCCCCTTACACTGCCTTATCTGTCAAAACCTCCCTTTGTACATCTGGCTACCACTTCCTTGGAGTTCCTGAATGCCAAGATAGCTTTTTCTTGTGGTTGTTAAATTGGTAGACTCAGTAGGAACATTTTCAGCTCCTAGAACAGACAAGTCTTACATCTTCTGGTACCCATACAAGGTGGTACTCTGAAAGATACAACATTCCTGCTCAAAATGAGGTCTCATTTCCACCTTGCTCAAAATGTTTTCTTCTCTTGACACCAACAGAGGAAGCTCTCCACATGCTGAACACGAGAAGGGTATTGTCCATAGAACAGCTCCCTTAATGCAGTCCCCTTGATGTGTGTGTGTGTGGTGGGGAAAATACTTGACCTAAGAAATGGCAGACAATTTTTCCTCAAAGATTTGCAGAACATGTCCTGAAAGTGATCTTGTGATATACCAGCTGTCACGGCTGCCACCTCCTCCTACGTCACCACAAGAGATGACAGGCCACGATCCTTCACACACATACACACAGTACTTCTTCGCTGCCACCAACCACACATAAACCTGACACTTCAGACTATGTATGGATTTTAAATAAAAAGGATGATTTATTGATTACAAAAATAAGAAGGAAATCACTGATTAAAAGAATCACTTGTAATACTATATTTATCAGACCTTCACCCTGCACAGTTCTTAGTTACTTAACACACAGTTACCTAACCTATATCTAACCCTCTCACTCTCCCACTCATTCCCCAACAACCTTTCCCTCTTTGCACACCCCCCTTATATACACAAACTCCACCCCTTTAAGACCCACCTCCTGCCCTGCCATAGGCCAGGAAACTCCAGCCTTAGCCAAGACAGGCAGGTGACGTCATGGCACACGTCACACCAGCCAACCAGGAAACCACTGCCTAGTGCTTTCACATTAATAAGTCTGCACCTGTGCAGAACCAACCATTCAGGATATTCCAGAGGAAAGAGTTTTGGTGGTAGTCCCACACCTGTTTTCTACAGGGCAGATACACTCAGCCCCTCAGTGCAGAATTTCAGATGACAAAATAGCAGAGTTCCATTGTCAGCAAGTGCCAAGGACGGGAGGAAACACTTGTCCCATGAATGTGGGACCGAAGAAGCTAGTGAAACATTTGAACCTTATAAGAAATAAGTCCAGTTGCCATGACTCAACTTCCAGGGTCCCATGAATGCTATTTATTGTACTGTTTATTAAAAGTAGGTTGTGCAAAAACTTGTGAGGATATTTATTTTTACTTTTGTGCTGTCTTGTGCCATCAAGCTGTTTCTGGTTTAATGTGCCCTTATGAATTGATAACCTCCCTATCTTCTTCTTTTTCCTAAAGTCTTGAATTAGTTAGAGGTGAAAATATAGCCGCAAGATTGCCATTGCCTGTGTGCTTTTATGTTCCTTTGGGAAATATTTGGCACATATCATAATTTCAGAGATTTGCATAGGTCATCATATAGCAGATTTGAGCTTTCAATGAGTCTGATATGGACAAAGCACCTGCATTTGAAGGAATCCCTGAATCCCGACAAAACAGAGATCTTGACGGGGGGTGGCAGCTCATGCCCAAGTAGGGTATAATTTACTTAGTCTAGACAGGATTACAATTCCCCTAAAAGACTGGGTGTACAACTTGGGTATAATCCTGGATCCGGCACTGTCTGTGGAACATCACATTTCAGCCTTGACCAGGACCACCTTTTTCCACCTTAGGTGGATTGCCACATTGCACCCTTATCTGGATGAGAAATCCCTGAAGACAATGATCCACACACTGGTAATCTTGAGACTTCACTACTGCTGTGCTCTCTATGTGGAGTTTTCCCTTGAAGATGATATGGAAGTTTCAGCAGGTCTAGAATGCAGGAGCCAAGTTTATTTAGGGGGCTAGGAGGTTCAGTCATGTCTCCCCAATTTTGGCTTGTCTGCACTGGCTTTCTGGTAGCCTCCGTGACAGATTTAAGGTGTTTGTTATGAGATACAAAGCCCTTAATAGTTTGGGAACTCATTACTTGTTGGAGTGCCTCTCCCCAAGAATATTTGCCTGGCCAACCTGTTCCTCTCAGGCCCTATTATTGTGGGTGCCTACCCCAAGAAAAGTAAGGAAAGCTTATATAAGAAATTGGGCATTTTCAAAAGTGGCACCCTCTTTGTGGAATAGACTTCCTTGGGAAATGAAACAGGCACTCTCCCTACAAATTTTAAAAGATTAATGAAAACTGAATTGTTTAGGGAGGCTTTTGGCAACATCCTCTTCTTAGTTTTCTTGTGACCAGTTTGTTGTTTTTGTTTTCTTTATTTCAGGATTTTATATTTTTTTAAATTATATTTGTTTTAATTTATTATGGTGTATTGTAATTTCGTTAGAATTTCTGTTAGCTCAGGTGTCTTCTGGTGATTGCCGTTTTATATTACATTTTTTATTTATTAGAATAGCAAGTATTATCATTTGTCAATGTTCTGTGTTATGTAAACAACCCTGTGCAGTGTTCTCACTAACTCAGGCAGTATATAAGCTCTATAAATAAAATAAAATTTCACAAATGCACTTCTTGCTTAGCACATTAAATCACATTAGAGTAGGTCCACTGAATTAGTGGGATATGATGAATCAACTCCTCTATAAATTCAGTTGATTCAAATCAACCTACTGACTACTTTCTTTTAGCATGGTAAGTCACAACTAAAGTAGATCCATTTGAATCAATGGAATTTATGAAGGAGTTGACTCACCACATCTCCACTGATTCAATGGCTCGATTCTAGTGCAGCTTACAACACTAAACATGACGTCAGCAATTAAAATATTACTAGAAGAGAGATATCTTATATATATGCTTATATATGAATATACACTTCCCATATTCTCCAACATAACTAAATAGCAAAGAGATTTACGGAGGAGCTGACACACCCTTGCATGCAGTCACATCTGAATTCTCACTCAGATGAAGATGAGAGAGTAATGAGGACTCCTGCACATACATACTGCCTAGATTTAGCTGAAATAAGAACTTGAGAAATGAGGGAAACAATGCATTTAATAGAGGGTAACCAATTAAGGGATGTGGTTGTGCTGCAGGTTAAACCGCAGAAGCCTCTGTGCTGCAAGGTTAGAAGACAGCAGTCGCAAGATCGAATCCACATGATGGAGTGAGCACCCGTCCCTTGTCCCGGCTCCTGGCAACCTAGCAGTTCAAAAGCATGTAAAATGCAAATAGATAAATAGGTACCACCTCGGTGGGAAGATTACGGCGTTCCGTGTCTAGGCGCACTGGCCACGTGGCGACGGAAACTGTCTTCGGACAAACGCTGGCTCTATGGCTTGGAAACGGGGATGAGCACCACACCCTAGAGTCAGACACGACTGGACTAAATGTCAATGGGAACCTTTACCTAACCAATTAAAACACAAAATCATAACTACTGAAGAATTACATAACTTCAGTGCTGACAGTGAAGAAATTTAAATAGAGATTTTGTATACCCTAGCTTTATCATCAACCCAATGGAGACTGCAGCCAATAAATCAGAGGAGGACTAAGACTGGGAAGGGCAGCAGTGAAGGAGTTGGAATAGATTATCAGGTATAAAGATGTGTCACTGGAGACCAATCATGCACACCCTGGTATTTCCAATCACCATGTATAGGTGTGAAAGCTAGACAGTAAAGAAAGCTGACAGGAAAAAAATGATTTGTTTGAAATGTGGTGCTGGATGTGGTGTTTTGGGGATATCCTGGGCTGCCAGAAAGATGAACAAATGGGTCCTAGATCAAGTAAAGAATGAAATATTTTTATAAGCAAAAATGTTGAAACAGGCTGGCCTACTTTGAGCACTTCATGAAAAGGCAGGATTCTGTGGAAAAAAATTCTGGGAAAAATGGAAGGCAGCAGGTAAAGAGGAAGACCAAATATGAGAGGGACTGATACCTTAAAAGAAGCCAAAGGTTTGGTTTACAAGAGCTGAGCAGGGCAGCTGAGGTCAGCATTTTGGAGGTTGTTTGTTCATAGGGTCACCATAAGTCAGAGGTGATTTGACAGCACATAACAACAAACTACAATTGGAGGCTATAAAATGTGTCATATTGTTGTTTAGTCGTTAAGTCGTGCCCGACTGTTCGTGACCCCATAGATCAGAGCACGCCAGGCTCTCCTATCTTCCACTGTCTCCCGGAGTTGTGTCAAATTCATTCTGGTAGCTTCAATGACACTGTCCAACCATCTCATCTTCTGTCGTCCCCTTCTCCTCTTGCCTTCACATTTTCCCAGCATCAAGGCCTTTTCCAAGGAGTCCTCTCTTCTCATGAGATGGCCAAAGTATTGGAGCATCAGCTTCAGGATCTGTCCTTCCAGGGAGCACTCAGGGTTGATTTCCTTTAGAATTAATAGGTTTGTTATCCTTGCAGTCCAGGGGACTCTCAAGAGTCTCCTCCAGCACCACAATTCAAAAGCATCAATTCTTTGGTGGTCAGCCTTCTTTATGGTCCAGCTCTCACTTCCATACATCACTACTGGAGAAATCATAGCTTTGACTATGCATCCCTTTGTCGGCAAGGTGATGTCTCTGCTTTTTAATATTACATAATATTGGAGGCTGTAAAATGTGTCATAGTCATGTTAATTTTAAAGGAATTGACATTTTGGATAATTTTTCTGCCTTTACATTACTATTTTAGGTTTTGGAAGACAATGACTATGGTCGTGCAGTGGATTGGTGGGGCCTTGGAGTTGTTATGTATGAAATGATGTGTGGCAGGTTGCCGTTCTACAATCAAGATCATGAAAAACTTTTTGAATTAATATTAATGGAGGATATAAAATTTCCTCGAACTCTTTCATCTGATGCAAAATCGCTACTTTCTGGTTTGCTGATAAAAGATCCAAATAAGCGGTAAGTCTAAAAGAATAGCAGTTACATGGAAAGTTATATTTTCAATCCTAAAATTACACACATTGTACCTTTACTGTTTCTAGCCATAGGCCTTTACAAAGGCAGACTTACATAAAAACGGTTAAAACAAAAGGATACCACAGGGGGGTCAATAAACCCATTCTGGGAATGGTGGCATAGTGTATAATATCAAAGTCACTATACTGTATTTAACATTTATGTAATATTATAAACCTTAACAAATTGAAGCCTCAGTTTCTTAGCTGACAGAGCAAATTGTGCAACAGAGTACATAATATACAGCTGTGTATCAGCGAGTAGTCTTACTGTTATTTCCATTGAAGTATAGTTGGGATACAGCTGGGTAATAGGAGATAAAAATCTGGGGTTTTCATAGAGATAATAGAATAATAAGTAGTGAGTTAGGTCCTCAATCTGATTGCAGCCATAGACACAACCCTAAAATCTGGAGGGGAATAAGAGAATTACACCAGAATTATTGTTTTCTAGAGCAGTTTCTTAATTAATACCCTACAGCAGGGGTGTCTAACCTTTCACCTTCCCTGGGCCACATTAGAAGATGAAAATTTGGTTTGGGCCGCACATACATGTGGTTTGGGCCACATGAGGGGGCAGCCCTAGCCGTCCTCCACAGCCCCGCTCCAAGTGCACTTACTGGCAGCTGCGATCTCAGACAGCAGAGGCTGCCAGCTTCTACTCCGGCGGCTTTATGGGGCCAGGAGGGGGTCCACCTATTGACGGGAATGGTGCAGTGCAGTCACACAGCTCCCCTGCCCCCTCCCCTCCCACTCCTTCCTTCCTTCCCTCTCTCCCCCTCTACTGTTGTGACATGCCCCAGCCACATTCCGGCTGCAAGCGCGGGCAGTGTAACTTGAAACTTTGGAATTTCTTTTAAAATAAAAAATTGCACTGGGCCGCATTACGAGCTGACCTGGGCCGCATGCGGCCCTCGGGCTGTGGGTTGGACAAGCCTGCCCTACAGTGTTACCATAGCAGTTGTATAACTTGGAGCTCATTAAGGGATCATCCGGTAGTGTTTAGCCTCTAGTCATAAGAGCCCCTGATGCAGGGTCAGAATCTGCAAAGAGGATGTTTATAAGCAAAGAATCAGTTTCTGAGGAGAGCCACCTTTGTCTATGGAAGTCCATGTGAACTTTGATTTTCCAGCATTCCAAATCACATGGAGAATCTCCGGGCAAAGAGGCTGGCCTTGTGATGAAAATGATGATGGCATGTTTTGCCGCATGATGCCTTATTCAGGTATTAGCTTAAAAAGCGTCATGAACTTTTGTGGATTTGAGAGTATAGTAATGGATCAACAGATTAGCTATTTCCTCACACATTGATTTACTATATCAAATTGTCTCCTTGAAACTACTGTTTGATTTTGGGGAGACCTTGAAAGCACTACATGTGTGGCTGTGTTTTCTTCCAATAGGGCAAATAACACCTTTCTTCTTTTTGTAGCTTGGTGAAGATTCTAATAGATGGAAGTCCTGAGGCAAATTTACAATAGTCTTTGTTTGCAAGGCTATTTTTTATTTTGGAGCAGTTATATGATGCAAATGGAACTGGAAGTACAGCTACTTCACACTTCCTTTTCTGATGTATCTCTTATGTAGGAGGGAAAGCAATATACAAATCCATATACACAAGTAAAATAAATAAATAAATATACACCCACAACAAAAAACATGCTGATCACCATAATCACCCAATCTCCTGAAAATGACAAAAAGCTGATCCCACAGCTATAAATACTCAACTATCCCACAAACTGCACCAGAGCACAGACAGAGTTCTGACTCCTGTCCTCTGAAGATGCTGGCCACAGAGACTGGCGAAACATTAGGAAGAAAAACCTTAAGAACATGGCCAAACAACCAAAAAAAAACCCTACAACCACCATACTCTCCACATATTTTGAATCTTCCAGGGCAATAGAGCCCAATATAAAGAATGAAAATCTGCCTGTGTGAACTCTCCCCATATTTCTAGATCAACCTGTTTGGTCTGTAGATGTAACCAGTGCAAGCACCAATCAGTACTTGTGCATCATGCAGATTAGAGGCATATGTTACTAATTTTAAACATAAATTATTTCTCTCAAGTCTGAAAGATGCACATGAAATTACTGGAAAAAATATTGAAGAATTATCAGAGTTGAGATACCATGAAAACTAAAACAAATATTTAGTTTAAGCTTTTGTGGATTGCAGCTTAATCTCTCAATGCACCATGATGAAGTAATCTACAAAATTTTATGTCAGATAAATTTTACTTATCTCTGAGGTGTTATAAGACTTTTATTGTCTTTGTTGCAATGGACAAACACACCTTCCCCTTAAGAAAATTGAAATTATTATGTAGCCTGTGTGTAATCTCATGTTGTTTATAAGAATGATTTTAATTTCTATGGTGGTCACTTCAAATTGATCTGTGAAAAGAAATTCTGGATTTCCCACATCTTCTTTACTAATAAGATTTGTGTAATTCATACTTTCCCTCAATAGTCTTGGTGGAGGACCAGATGATGCTAAAGAAATTATGCGACACAGTTTCTTTGCTGGAGTAAACTGGCAAGATGTATATGATAAGAAGGTAGGTCTGTATGCGCTGACATGAAATGCTTAAAGTTCCTGAGAAATATTTCCCTGCTTCACACTTGTTGTGGTTTTAAATATAAAAAGGTAAACATTGTTCTTAAAATAAAGCAGCTTTTAAATAGTTCTCAAAACTATAAAAAATCTAGAGCACTGTCTGAGTAAATGTGAACATTTTGAGTCTGTCTGGTTTCAGTGGTTGAAATTCTGTTTCTTAGAATAATAAGTTGCATTAGAGTTAGGCCCATTAAATAAATGAGGATTTGGTAAGTCAAATCTTACATGAGTTCCATTGATTCAAATAAGCCTACTCCGGTTGTAAGTTATTACACAGCTACAATAAGTCACAACTACAATACGCTGATTTGAATCAATGGAACGTCTGGAGGAGTTGCCTCATAAAATTCCCACCGATTTAATGGATTTGTTCAAGTGCAACATACTATGCTAATTAACAGGATTTCAGACAGTAAGAGCATGAAAAAGTTTGTGCTTAATTCTCTCTAAATTATTTGAGCATATATTTCATAACAATTTATTGTATTTCCAACAAAACACAAAGCTAATATAATTTGTTTCTTTTTTCTGAATTATTGTAAAAAGTTTAAAATAAATATATGTGCATCCTTAGATATTTGCAAATGGCTGCTGTATAGAAGATTTACCAACCCAGTCTGCTATCCATCTAGAACAGGGGTCTCCAAACTATGGCCCGCAGGCCACATCCAGCCCAGCTTGCCTTTTTATCTGGCCCAGTGGGCAGGCGGGTGCGCACAAGAGTGCAGACGGGCAGGTGTGCGGATGCATTCGGGAGTGTGTATGCACGTGCACGTGCGTCTTCCTTCAGCCCTCAAAAATGTGGAGCATATATTATGTGGCCCTCCCGCTGAAAAGTTTGGAGATCCCTAATCTATAACAAGGATCAGAGGCCTGTAATATTTTTGTATTTTTATTTTTTGGCCAAATCACATATTGTAACTACATTTGAAGGAGATTAGATAGTCAGAAAGTGTTTACAAATTGGACCAATCCTCATTATGGAATGTCAGTTTCCATTCCTCCCTTTTCATACAGAAGAATTTTTATAGTCTGGTTCTAGCATTTAATGAACTTTGGCTCCTACTTGCACTCCTTTTTCTCTCATAATTTTTAAAATTAAAACATCTTTCTGGGATACTTTGTGTTCAGATGGCAGAAACATGCAACATATACTCTGCAACATGTCTTTGTATAGCTGTATCATTCTTAACTTTTTAAAAGTGGTGTATAGCTCTAATTCTGTGAGAATTGAAAAAGAAATTTAGTGTTTTCAACTTCAGTATTACTGAAAAATGCTTTTGTACAGTATATTCTTCTTCTACCATCTTATAAGAGTATTTTTATATACCGTATTTTTCTAATGTATAAGACGACCCCCCCTCTTTTTTAACCCCAAATTAGAAAATTTGATCCCTGCTTTTCCCTTTCTTTTGCTAAGTCATGGAGCTTAGCAAAAGGAAGAGAAAAGCGGGGATCAAAGGTCTCCCTTTGACCACTGCCTTTCCTTGCTTTTTGTGAAGCCACAGGGCTTAGCAAAAAGGAAGGGAAGGCTCCCTTCGGGTAATGCAGCAGTGAAAGGGCTTCAGGATCAAAGAGCTGTGATTGTGCAGCCCTTTCATAGCTGCTTTACCCAAAGGGAGCCTTTCCTTCCTTTTTGCTAAGCCCCGTGGCTTCACAAAAGGGAAGGAAAAGTGGCTGCCTTCCGTGTATAAAACAACCTTCAATTTTTTTTCTAGTTATTTAAGGAAAAAGTGTCACTTTATAAACAGAAAAATACAGTAATTCATTATGACCCAAATTATTTGAATTCACTATTTCTATGTTCATATATTTATCTTTAAATTGTTGCAATTTTTAAACATTTTCAAGTGCTCTTCAGCTCCCCAAGCAAACATCCCTTTTCTAAGAAGTCATTTTGAATCTTAGAGGAATGCTTCCTGTCTCATTCAGCCTTTCCCAAATTTGTTTGGTCAGACCTTCTTTGTAACAAGCTTCTTTGGTAATGTTTTCTGCACAAACCAAACCTCTTTGCCACAGCCTTCTTTGGTATTGGTTTGTGTATGAACCAATCTGGACTGCCCCATAGAATCTCAGTAGGATGTTAATTTCCAAGTTTCTTAACATTTTAGAAAGTGCATAGGTAATATTTTGCTTAGCATTGCAAAACTGTCCTGTGCATGTTTCCTTAGAAGTAAATCCCACTGTGTTTCATGGTTGTTGTGGGTTTTTCGGGCTCTTTGGTCGTGTTCTGAAGGTTGTTCTTCCTAACGTTTCGCCAGTCTCTGTGGCCAGCATCTTCAGAGGACAGCACTCTGTGCTCTGGTGTAGTTGGTTTTGGGAGTGCTGTCCTCTGAAGATGCCGGCCACAGAGACTGGCGAAATGTTAGGAAGAACAACCTTCAGAACACGGCCAAAGAGCCCGAAAAACCCACAACAACCATTAGATCCCGGCTGTGAAAGCCTTCACGAATATATTGAACCCCACTGTGTTTATTTGGGGTTACTCTCTGAAAGGTGCGGCTAACATTTTCAGCCTTAATATTCAATTTTTCAGTTAGAAATAGAAAAAAAATGAGTAAGGTTAATGGACTGCAACCAATACTAGCTTTCTGCTGGCAGGATGCGAAGGGAGCAATTCCTGCTCTTCACTTCAGCCACCTGTATGCCAACAAACTACCCCAAAGCTATTTTTAGCACAGGCAGTTCTGCTATTGGTCTATGGCTATAATAACCTCCCTCTATTCAGCACTGGTTAGGCCTCATCTAGATTACTGTGTCCAATCCTGGACACGACACTTTAAGAAGGATGCCAGTGGAACAAGTTCAGAGGAGGGCAACAAGAATGATCAGAGGGCTGGAAATCAAGTACTATGATGAGGAAAGACTGAAATAATTGGTCAGTTTAACCATGAGAAAAGAAAACATAAGGGAGATATGATAGCACTTTTCAAATACTTGAGGGTCAGGATCTGCTCTAGATCATCCCACAAATCAGAACACATAATAATGGGCTCAAGTTACAGGAAGCCAGATTTAGGCTGAATATCAGGAAAGACTTCTTAACTGTTAGAACAGTACTACAATGGAACCAGTTGCCTTGGGAGGCTGTAAGCGCTCCAGCGCTGGAGGCATTCAAGAGAAAATTGGACAACTATTTGTCAAATCTGCTTTGATTTGGATTCCTTCATTGAGCAGGGAGTTGGACTCAATGGCCTTATAGGCCCCTTCCAACTCATTCTATTATTCTAATGTTCACCAGTTAACTTCCAGCTCATTATTTTAGAATTAAAACAAAGACCAAAAGGTCTTTTTTCAGAAATATTGCTTGTAGCTTGAGTTGTGCAAATAATTTGACACCAAAGACTGAAGCTGTAGATTTTCTTTTCACAAGTTCTGTAATTTCCTTCTAAAATTAGCTCTATTTAATCAAACATAACGGCTCTAGTGAAATTGTTTCAATGCTCATGTAACATTTTCCCCACCCTCAGATGCCAAAACATTGTTAAAACGTATGCCTATTTGAGATTTTGATAGAGAAAAGCAGCACAGATTAGAAAAATAAACAGATTTAAATACAAATTGAGTTTTTTCAAGATCTGAGATTCAAATTAAAGATAATTAGTGAATTGAAAATAATATAACAAATAAAAATTATTGAATTGGCTGATTCTTATTTTTAAAACAATTGTATTTAATTAAGTCTCAGAGTACAGCTCTTTTGTTTATATTTTTGGCAAAGAATTATGCAAGCCTCGTTTCCTTGAAGACATGCAGCTTCTTCTGTACAAATGAAGTTGTGGAACATAGCAAAATCAGGGAGCTAGAGCTAGTTTGGGTAATGTAGTTGGATTGGACACTGAGAATTATTAAACTAAAGGAATCTTCTCAAAGGGCACCGCCCCCCCAGCCGCAAATTTCTTCTCCATCTTACCTCCCTGCACCTTCAAAATCCATAACCAAATATTGGGTTGGAGGGGGCGCTGCTGGGAGAGGAGAAAGTTATCTTACTGAAATCAAGCCAGGCCATGGCAGACTTATGAATTCAGAGTTACCATTAATATTAATATAATATGTCCAATCAGGACATCCAGTTTGTCACCCATATTCTGAAGGTAAACTGTTTGAGTCCTCTTACCTCTCTAGAGCTTGATCACACTCTACTACTAATCATTCTGACTGCTCCTATTCTTAGAGTCCCCTTTGCATCCAGTCCTGTTCTCACAATTATCAGTGATATTCAAGTTGGGGCCATTCCCATCCCTGAGACCATTCCAACCTATGTGCCAGTTTTGTTCCCCCATTAGTATTATTTCAACAAAGAAATTGGCACAACTCTCAAACTTCCATGTATTCAAGAACATCTTTGTACAGATATCACCTTACTTATTATCACTCTTAGAACAATAGAAACACACCTTGCCTAATCGATGAATACTGAAGAGTGTGTCCCACCAGGACAAGATTCTAGCTGGACTATTTGGAAGTCACTTAATAGACTTCAAAGAGAAATAGGAAGATAAAATAATAATTTGTATTTGGATACAGGATGATTTTCTGTGACTGTGGAGAAATCCAGGCAATGCAACACTGATGTGCATGCAATTTATACCCTGCCACATGTACAAAAGGAAATCTAGCAAATGGTTGAGATAATGCTGTTGAAGTAGCCTCCTTCTGGTCCAAAATAGTCTACTTACCTTAATTTTTTAATTTTCTTTTAAGTTTACCTATATTTCATGTATGTCCATAATTTTAAATTATGCAGCATTCTGATATGGATAAAGAAAGATCAAACATCCTGTTACACTTCTTCCACAACAGCTACACAGAAAATGAGACAAAACTCTCAAGACATACTGTCAGCCTCCTGTAAGGGGAAGCAGGATGATCCCAAGCAGCATCTTTGACTTCTTTCCTTCCCACATCCACCTTCTACTCCATGGATAAACCCATTCAGTA